GTCCTTCTTGTGTCTTATCTCTCTGTTTTTTTTAATGCTATATTTCCATCGAGGTTGCTCTTGTTCAGTCAATTTTTCACATGGTCTTTCCAAGATGTTGGGCTTTTTTAAATTTGTTTAGCTGTTCAATTTTTCATCCTGCTGTTTGAAAGCTATAGATATCAATCTGATAAACTAGTATCACAGATGACTGTTGTTGAAGCTATTGTTGGGAAAAGAAGATAAATCCACCTGCTAGTTCTTCCCAGTTGCACCCATCGGTTGTGTCTCTGTTGAGTGAAGGAGTTGCTCAGAATAGCACAGGGAATGTTTTTGTGCCTAAGGCAAGATTATTTCTGTTGTTCATCATATTCATTATGCTAAAGTCAAGAGATAAATAATTTTCATGCATGAGAAAATGTGTTCTTGTCTAAGATTAAATGTTTTACATAGGAAGTGACTTTTGCTTCCGACTTATCAATTGGTTCTGCTAATTATAGTTTTTCTTCTTCATAAGTTGCACGGGAATCTCATTGAATTACATTCATTTTTCCAGGATGGTGGTGATGTTGAGATTTCTGGATCTCCTACAGAAAAAGCTATCCTTTCTTGGGCAATATAAGTACCCCCAGAACTTGGTCCCTCATCTTCTTCTGATTTATTTTTGTTTGCACATGCTAATCATTGAAAATTGTATTGCAGTTGGGGAAGAAATTTGATGCTATCAGATCAGAATCCACTATTCTTCAAGTTTTCCTTTTCAACTCTGAGAAAAAGCGAGGTGGTGTTGCAGTACTACAGGTAGTGGCTTCAGTCTAACTTCCTAATACTTTCTCATTTTGTTGATGTTAGTATATTGGGAGACTTAAAATGCAGTTATTAGAATTAACTGAAAGAATATGGCTAAAACACTAATGGCTCTTTGATGATTTCTCTCCTAGGAATACTGACATGATTGTGCATGTTTATGTTGCATTCAGTTCATATTTGGGCATTTTAACAGAAGCATTTCTGTTTCCTCAATTTGCCTTTTTTTTTCTTAGGAAGAAAAAACTGCTCAACTTTTGATAGACAGGCTTCTTAGGTGGGAATTAGAATGAGCACATTTTCTCCACCTACAACAGTACAACACCTGTTTCTGCTTCAAACATATCAAAGCATGATTTGGTTTTTAAGGGTGACTAAGAATAAACTCTATTAACTGCATTGAATGAACATGCAACCAAATGTTGTGAAATGACAACACTTTAATTTCAATTTATTACTGATATTGTTACTTGATTATAGGACTTGAATAAAAAAATGAATGATAAAAATATCTGTTGTCCAGGCCTTCTTGACTGGGTAATGCAGGCTTGTCTTTTGTTTCATTGGGCTGGTGGATCGGGAAATAGGTTGGCTTTATATTTTTTTTTTGGGATTTCTAATCAAAAGTGGAAAGCAAGTCCATCAAAAAATCTGAGAGAAATCTGGTTTGGGGGGGGGGGGCGAAGAGGAGATGAGAGTGAAAGGGGCGGCATAGAGAGAGAAATCTTTATGAGGGAATACTAATCTGGCACCCCATTGCCAAACTGTGCCGGGTAGAGCTAAATCAGCTTGCCCCTGCTGTGCCAAAGGAGGCGGGAGCCTCATCTTGGCTCACTTGGCTGTGGGATTGGAGGGATAAAGAAGGAAAAATGAAAATAGGTTTATGGGGTTTTGGGTTCTCTATAGGAAAAAAGTTATTCCTTGCTCAGGTCTTTTAACTTGATAAAGTCTTTTTAGTTGATGGAATTAAAACTGAACTGCTGAAATGCTCAGGTTCAAGTGCTTTTCAGTAGAATTTAGCTAGTGTTGCAGAACAAAAAAAAAGCAGCCTTTTTTCCTAATATTTTCAACTGGCAATACTGTTGATATTAATAATTTAGACAATGTCATTTAATATAAGTTTTCCTATGGCAGTCTGATTCTGAAGTTCATATACACTGGAAGGGAGCAGCTGAGATAGTTTTGGCCGCATGTTCTGGATATCTTGATTCAAATGGTTGCCTTCAATCCATGAATGAAGACAAGGTTAGTGATTATGAATATTTACACACAAAAAAATAAAAATAAAAAAATGCAGTACTGAAAGGTCTCCTGGGTAAAAAAGTTAAGGAAATTTCCTTCTCATTTGATCTCCATAATTAACTTTAGCTTGCAAGTCTTTTTAGTTTTTACCATTTGTAGGTTGACTCAGTGCTTTAGTAATAAGTATCTGATGATGTGAAGACTGATCATTAATTTATGGAAACCATATGTTTTGACTTATTGGCTGTCACTGATTTATGGAAATCATGTGAAAACATATGTTTTGACTTAATGCCTGTTCATTAGAAACTGGAGCTTGTGTTTAATACATTAGGAAAGAAAAGGTTTTTTCTTACCAGAATTAAATTGCTCACTTTATATCAAGTCTATAATGTAGTATTGCATGATTAAAAAATGGACTTCGTTTGTTTCTGATTCCTAAATCCTAGCATGATTTGATCAGCATATGCTTCAACTTTTATTTTTAACCACCTTTCTGCAGGATTTTTTTGAGGCTGCTATTGACGAAATGGCTGCAAGTAGCCTGCGCTGCGTTGCCCTTGCATACAGATTGTGTGAACGGGAAAAGGTTACTAGTGATGAAGAGAGCTGTAATGATTGGATCTTACCTGAAGATAACCTTGTTTTGCTTGCTATTGTTGGTATAAAGGTAAATATTTTTAGCAAGGATTCCCCACTTTTACCTAATGGTTGTTAAATCTATCAGTACCTTGACTATCTTTTTTAGCTTTGACTTTATGTTTGATGCTAACAAATTTATGCAAAGCTGCGATGAATGATAATGTGAATGAAAGAAGGAAACTGCTCTTTCCCAAATTAAGTGCAACATTTTTATGAGATATATCACTAAACAAAGTGTTATATGCATGCGCATCCAAGCAAATTGATCTGTTGTTGGAAACAAATTTGATGTTATTTTTGTTGTCAAAATTCTAGTGTTTGTGTTTACCTGTATACAAATACAGTTTGGAAGTGTTTCTTTGGTTTTTATGTGCCATAGAGCAAAAGTGGTCTTCGGGGGAGTTGCCATTTTGTTCAATTAATATGAATATTCTTGTTTTATCTCCGTGCAACTGATATAATCTTCCTCTTCAGGATCCTTGTCGCTCAGGTGTTAAAGATACCGTGAAAATATGTATGGATGCTGGTGTTAAGGTAATTTTGCTGGCTTCGTAAGATTTGTTTTAGAATTTATTATACCGTCCGTATGTAGGATGCTACTTTTATATAGTTCCTATGGAATGGTGAATATTTCCTTTATTTTTCAAAGATTTTTAGTTACTATAATTTAGAACGAGTACTTGTAATTTTTAATTACTCTTATATATATGACCTAAAGTTTTTAATATTTAGGTACGTATGGTCACCGGAGATAATATCCGAACAGCCAAAGCAATAGCTTTGGAGTGTGGGATACTTAGTTCTGCACAAGATGTTACTGAGCTTACCGTCATTGAAGGAAGGGTATTCCGAGCCTTATCTGAAAAAGAAAGAGAACAAATGGCTCAGAAAATAAACGGTATCTATTATGTTTCTTGATTGTATTGCCTTTAGATCCTGATATTATTCTATAGTGTCCAAACATATTTTGTTGATTAAAGCACTAAAGAGTGGCTAATGTAGAAAAAAGGTATTTTTGGTAAAGAAAATCATACAGTAATTAACAGTAAAATACTTGTATTTACACGACTCAAATCTACAGCTATTTGGGAGTTTATGCAGGTAATGGGGAGATCTTCTCCAAACGACAAGCTTTTGCTCGTTCAAGCCTTGCGTAAGGGAGGGGATGTTGTGGTTGTGACTGGAGATGGTACCAATGATGCTCCTGCACTTCATGAGGTTTGGTTTTGTGGTTAACTTCATTAGATTTATTTATTTTTCTTGTGATGATAGTGCTTTACGATGCATATTAGATGTGGTAAGCATTGGCTTACGGTGTGTTTGATAAACTATTGGAAGTTAAAATTTTGAATGGTTTTATTTTTTCTGTATTTTAGGCAGATATAGGTCTGTCTATGGGCATTCAAGGGACAGAAGTCGCAAAAGAAAGTTCAGATATAATTATATTGGATGATAATTTTGCTTCAGTTGTGAAGGTTAGCATGCTTGTTTCTTTCTTTCACATGGATATTATTTTTTCCATTTTTACAATATCCTACTGCTGAATTTGAGGTAAGGCTCGTATCGAATTTCCAGCAATTGTATCCTTCAACTTTGTATCCTTAATGTAGGTTGTTCGCTGGGGTCGTTCTGTTTATGCCAATATTCAGAAGTTTATACAATTCCAGCTTACAGTGAATGTTGCAGCTCTTGTAATCAATGTCGTGGCAGCAGTATCCTCCGGTGATGTTCCTTTAAATTCAGTGCAGGTAATGCTCTTTCTCTACTCTCCTATTGCCCCTTGGCCTTGTATCAAATTTCTGACTAGGAAATGACAGCGGGGTAGAATTCAGTTTTATCTAATTTTCTGGATTATGATCTCGGGGTGCTGGGCCATGAACTAAGGAACTGTTCACCAATAACGTTTTTGACTATGTGGTGATTGAACTTAAAAACTAGTGTGTTTGCGAGTAGAATAGACTTCAATACTCATGTTTCTGTTGGGGTGAGAGAAAGGCCAAAACTGGTGGGATAAGTTACTTTATGATGAGTTGATGACAAAAAATTTGAATGCGAGTTCTTTTGTTGTAGTTACTATGGGTTAACCTGATCATGGATACTCTTGGAGCACTTGCATTGGCCACTGAGCCTCCAACAGACAACCTTATGCTTAGGCCCCCGGTTGGCCGAAAGTCTGAAATCTGAATCCTTTTCTCATGTGAATACTGTGTACTTTGACTCATAGCACTCTAGTTCTATGTATTGATCATTAGAAATGGCTGAATGTACCTTATCAAGTTGATATTTAATTGACTACTTGTATTGATCTAAATGTTTTATTTTCCCAGAGAACCTCTAATTACAAACATCATGTGGAGGAACTTGCTCATACAGGTATCCGTTTTCTTTGGTCCTCACCATATGATTTTCGCCTGTTAACAATTTACTTGCCTTAGCTTGTGTTTTGCAATATTATTTGACTGAGAATTGTTAACGCGGACCAAAGTCAGGGAATATAGTACAATGGTTCTATGTCTTATAATGTTTTCACATTTCATTTCAGGCTTTACATCAAGTTGCTGTCCTCCTCGTGCTCAACTTCTCAAGCTTGACCATTCTTGGTTTGAAGGATGATGGTGACAAGGCTCATGCTTATAAAGTGAAGAATTCTTTGATATTCAATGATTTTGGCATGTGTCAAGTAAGTACCAACTGGAAAGTTGAAATTCTGGGGTCTATTTTTTCATTTATCGTAAAGCTTAGAGTTTGATAACCCCTCAAATCACAGAAATTCAATGAGTTCAATGCTAGAAAGCCTGAAGAAATCAATTGCTTCAGAGGAGTGACTAAAAACTACCTATTTATGGGAATCGTTGGATTTACTCTTATACTTCAGGTGAACAAGTCTCATCCTGTCTTATTTTCGTGCACTATTCTGTTTTCTTAGTGGTCATCATTTGTACCTGGTCTGCTCATGATACTATTTCCAACTATTTCACATATAATCATCATTGAGTTCCTTGGAAAATTTACCTCGACAGTACAACTCGATTGGCAGCTGTGGCTTGTATCCATTGGCATCGGCATTATCGGGTAGGGCCACTCGCTCTCGTCGCTCTTGGCCTCCAATAACCTTCATAGATCGTTGGGTTGTCAGTATTATTATTTACATGAACCTTCATCGACGGCTATTATATTTTTGAAGCTGGCCTCTTGCGATCGTGGGGAAGCCGACTCCAGTTCCGAAGACTCCGGTTTCGGCATTCCTCGTAAAGCCATTTCGACAATGCAGAAGGGCCAGGGATGATGCATGAATGGGGTATTTCTGCAATAAGTAAACTCTGCAATCAAATCAAAGAATTGTTAAAGTGTGTATATAGAAAGAGGCGGGCGGTTGCTTAAATCCTTTTTTACACAAAAGGCAACAATCATGCTTGGCTGAGTGAAACTAAATTATGTATTTAGAAGGAAGGCTTTGGTGAATCCGAAACCTCAAGGATTTCCTTCGTTTTATGGAGGCACGTATACTTATGAATCAATTTCTCATAGAATTTGAAAAATTAATGACACCGATGAAAAGTATTTAGAAAATCAAGATCCAAATTCCCAATTGATTCTCACAAATTTCAGAAAGCATATGTCCTAGAATGAATCTGCTCGAATTATACTTTCAAGAAAGACAAAATTCCATACGAAATGCAACAATATTATCTTACAAGAAAGACAAATTCCATTGCCGACGAGCCTGAAGCAAACGATTCCATGGTCACTTTCATTATCAGCTTTAGATTGTGTTCTTCGCAACGGCCAAAGGAGAAAAGGTCAAAGACGAAGCCTTTTTCATTTATAGAGATTAACGGGGAAAAAAAACTACTCCATTTATTTTGTTCTACAATGCAAAATGTTAAAACTAAATATAATATATAAAAAAATTAATTTTTAATTAATAGTTATTTTAATTCATTTTTTTTCAAATTATTCTTCACGTTTCATTTTAGATCAAAATTAAATATTTTTATGATAATTTCTTAATACGTTGTTATATTCTGCAAACTGTTAAAACTAAATATAGTATAAAAACTTAATTTTAATCCTCAATATTTCATTTTAGATTAAAATAATTTTTTATAAATAAAACTAATTATTCATCAATGTTTTAAAAATAATGTAATAAATCTATGCGATATTACGTACTAATATGACAATTGATAATATTGTATATATAATGATATTGACGTGTATCAATTAATAAAGTTATTTTTTAAGTTAAGTTTGTATAATTAATTATAAGATAAACAACGTATTTAATATCTAAATTATTATTTTTACTTTATTTTAAAACGTAAACTTTTATTTATTTTAAAATTATGTTTAATGTTTATTTTTCGTTTCATTTTATGCATCACTTTTAAAAATTTAATGACATTATAATTTTATGGTTAAATTATATTATTTATCATTCAGCTATCTTCTCACTTCTATTTTGGTCACTAAATTTAAAAAAAATTAATTTAACTACTCAACTTTCAAATTGTTCATATTTTAAGTACTATAATTTATTTTATTAATGATTTTGTGATATGAGTTTTTTTATTAATATATAATTAAAATAAATTAAATTAAAATTAGGATTAATTTGAAAGTTAAATAATTAAAAATATTAAACTTTAATGACCAAAATAAGAGAGAAGATAATTGAGTGGTGAATGATACAATTTACCCATAAAAAGGTTCCACGTACAATTCACCCATTAAAGTTTTAAAAATAAGATATTCAAACGAAACAAAAATTAAACGTTAGAAATGATTTTGAAACAAATGAAATTTAGATACTAATACAAAATAAAATTGATAATTTATGTATTAAATTTATAGTTTACCCTTGATTATAATTAATCAGAAAATGACTTGGGAAAGAAACAACTAGACAAGAGAAAGATAGTAGAAGAAAAAAAAAACATTGAGAAAAGACTTGTGAATTCCTCAGAATCAAGAGATACTATGGTACAATCTTCTCTGTTCATCTACCTCTGTTCCTTTAGTACGCAGATGCTGATTATGAGTTAACAATAAGAATGGTTCATCAACATGAACATGAACAGGCACAGCAGCAGAACAAACTGAAGCTCTATTCTTACTGGAGGAGTTCCTGCTCCTTCCGCATCAGAATCGCCCTTAACCTGAAAGGTACCTGCCCTTTTTCCCTTTCTTTTTCTGGGTTTTTAATCATTTTCAATCTATTACTAATTAGAAGTTTCTTTTGGTTTCTGGGTTTTTTGGCAGGTCTGGATTATGAGTACATACCCGTTAACTTGCTTAAGGGGGAGCAGTTCAGTCCTGGTCAGGATTCTTTTAAATTTTCTGGGTTTATTAATTTGTTTCTAATTCATTAATTATTGAAATTAAAAACATTGATGAAACTTGGGAAATGGGTAGAATTCCAAAAGCTGAATCCTATTGGGTATGTACCGGTGCTGGTGGACGGTGACGTTGTCGTTTCAGACTCTTTCGCAATTTTCATGGTCATTTTTTTCCTGTTTCCCCTTCTTTTCATTCAATTCAATTCTATAGTATTCGTTACTTAGCTTGATTTGTTTGTTTTTAATGAATGTGGAATTAAACCAACAGTATCTAGAGGAGAAATACCCTCAAATCCCCTTATTGCCATCCGATCTTGCTAAGAAGGCACTCAATATCCAGGTCTCTGATGTCCTCCATTTCTTTTCTTTTTTTATGTTTTTTGTCTCTAAGTTAGGCGACAATAATGAGCATTCTCGCATCGTTTTATAGGCCGCGAATATTGTTTCCTCGAGCATTCAGCCTCTTCAGAATCTAGCTGTGCTGGTTGGTCTCCGAGTGAATTTGTTATGCCTCCGTTTTGGTTTTTGATGGGATCATTGAAAGATATAGGGATTGCGTTTGATTTGCTGTTTTTACCTTTGCAGAAGTACATCGAGGAAAAAGTAAGTCCGGAAGAGAAAGTTCCTTGGGCAAAATTTCATATCGAGAAAGGCTTCGGAGGTAAGTGATGAGTAAAGGCATCGTACATATAACTATTCTACTAAGATTACTTCCCATGAGGGTTTATTGTTTCCTTCACGCTTCTTTGTTTCAGCACTTGAGAAGCTGTTAAAAGATCATGCTGGAAAATATGCGATCGGAGATGAAGTTGCCATGGTTTGTTCCATTCTGTCATGTTTTTAAATGCAACTTCATGCTCAAAGCACGTGGTAAATCGAGCACAAAGGTGCATATGTTTTGGTGTTTTTGGAATGCTTATATATTTGTTGCAGGATGCGGATGAAAGGATTTCGGATATCAGTTTGAATGAATTTGGCCTGATCGATAGTTTTGGTGAAAACTGTTTTAGTTTCCTGCAGTTATGCCTGATCTGGTAAATATAAATCAGGCATCATCGAGACACAGTTTTGCCCCTGAAGCATATATGCCTTTGTGCTTTTAGATGCAAATGAGTTAATCATAGGTCTAAACTCTGTTTGACGTTTGCTAATATCGCCTTCGGTTACTTGTTATGATGCCCTTTAGAAGTTGACTCCTAACATACAGTAGAAGAAGAAATAGATGAAGTTATATACTCTAGTTAGAAATATTCTGAAAATATACATACACACATAAATATGGCCTGTTGACTCTGTCTGCAGGCAGATGCATTCCTAGCACCACAGATTCTTGCTGGGATACAACGATTCAATGTCGACATGGTAATCTGCTCATCGATGAACATCTTGTTTCTGCTTCTTATTTGTGTTTGTTCATTTCAGCTCAATTAAAGTTTCCATACACACATATATTCTTGGCTAACAAGGCTTCTCTTTTCCTATTATTTTGTAGGCTAAATTCCCGCTTTTAACTCGGTTGAACGAGGCATATAGTGAGCTACCGGAATTCCAAAAGGCTATACCAGAGAATCAGCCGGATGCTCCTTCGGCATAGGGCGCTTGTTAAGACGGTGGATTGATGAGGTACACATATACCTCGGAATGGTTCATTCGAGGGAATGATGAATGATAATAAGGATTATGTTAGTCCTGAAGTTTATGTAAGAATCTATAATATCATATATTATGCAACATGGACATATCATAAACATGTATGGCATGTTTATCCGAATTAAATTGGGTGGTTTAATTCTCCATGTCCATAGTCATATCTCTGTTTGCAGAAATATGTGTCAAAATGTTTTCCTGGGACATTGGGTTCAGTTTCAAGGAGAAAAAGAATGAAATTTCTTCCCAAAAATTAACGAACTCAAACGAACAGATGATCACACGTAAATGAACGAACGAGCCTTTTGTTCGTGTTCGTTCATTTAACTAAACTGACATAAAATCTTATTCATGTTCGTTTGTTTAACTAATAAACGAACTTCTAGCCGAACGGTTCACGAACGATTCGCTGAACGTTCAGTTCGTTTACGGACCCTACAATAATACACAATTCAAGTATTTTAAGTATAAGAATCACATTAAAAGACTTCATAAACCTGAGAACTTATTGAATCATTTGTGGCGTTAGCAAATTAATTAAATAATCAATGCATATTTTCTGTACCTAATTAATCCAACCATTCACAAATTAGGATATTAGCAATGTGATGAGCATGGACTATTATAATAATAACATTTTTCTTCGACTCATATTCTAATAATAGCTAAACAAAGCCTCCATTGGTATATTTGCCCATTTTTCCTATATTGATATTTATTTTTTGGTTTAATTCAAATTGATATTCAAATTTATCTATTTTTTCCATAGTAGTATCTAACTTTTTTGGATTCATGTTGGTACCTGTTGACGAAAACGGGTAAAGAAAACGAAAGAACACGAGAATTTTACGAGGTTCGGCAATGTGCTTACGTCCTCGGTGCCTAGGCGGCGCTAGAATTTTATTCAATGATATTTTAGGTCTAGGTTACATCTCTATTTATAATAGAAAACCCTGGTACATAATTACAAAATCAACCCTGTACCGTACCGCGGGGGCTGCGCCCCCACACCCCGAACCCACATAATTCGTAACCCCACAACGAGACTTTTTATGAGCCATACATAACAAATCTCCACCTTGGCGAATATCCTGCCCCTTGGAAACTTCAATGTGGGTTGGGTTACCTTGCTTCTTTAACAACTCGAAACATTCAACAAGTCCAAGCAATGCTTGAACTTGTCTGTCGTAACTGGCTTGGTGAACATATCAGCGGCATTCTCATCAGTATGTACCTTCTGAAACAAAACCTCTCCAGATGCAACCAACTCTCTGATCTTGTGGAACCTTACATCAATATGTTTAGTTCTAGCACGATACACCTGATTCTTAGCCAAGTGAATAGCACTTTGATTATCACAAAGCAACTGAACTCCACCTTGTTGAACACCCAACTCCTTCACTAAACCAGTAAGCCATAAAGCTTCTTTTGCAGCTTCAGCCGCTGCCATGTATTCAGCTTCAGTTGTAGATAGTGCCACGACAGATTGAACAGTAGACTTCCAACAAATAGGCCCTCTACCAAGAGTAAACACATACCCTGTCGTAGATCTTCTATTATCCAAGTCACCTGCATAATCTGAATCCACATATCCTACAACCAAAGGATTATCCCGCTGACTCCCAAAAACAATTCCATGTCCCACAGTACCCTTTAAGTACCGAAAGATCCACTTGACTGCATCCCAATGTTGCTTACCAGGTTTAGACATGTACTTACAAACTTGACTAACAGCATGAGCTAAATCAGGACGAGTACATACCATCGCATACATCAAGCAGCCAACAACATTAGAATACGGAACCTTTGCCATATTTTCAGCTTCCTTATCTGTCTTAGGGCACTGTTCTGATGAGAGCTTAAAGTGATTCGCCAATGGAGTGCCAACTGGTTTCGCGCTGCTCATCGCAAACCTTTCTAGCATTTTCTCAACATAACCCCGTTGAGATAGCCGCAGTTTCCTTGAGTCTCTGTCCCTGCAAATTTCCATTCCAAGAATTTTCTTTGCAGCACCTAAATCTTTCATATCAAATTCCTGACTCAATAAAGTTTTCAAACCGATAACATCATCCATGTTCTTCGCAGCAATCAACATATCATCAACATACAGTAATAGAAAAATAAAGAACCATCATCAAGGCTCTTAACATAGACACAACAATCATACTCACATCGGTTGTAGCCAATCTTGATCATATAGGAGTCAAACCGTTTATACCACTGTCTCGGAGACTGTTTTAACCCGTACAAAGATTTCTTCAATCTGCAAACTAAATGCTCGTTTCCAGGTTGAGTGAAACCTTCAGGTTGCCGCATGTAGATCTGCTCCTCTAAATCACCATGCAAAAAAGCAGTTTTAACATCCATCTGCTCTAAATGCAAATCCCAACTAGCCACCAATGCAAGTACTGCTCGGATTGAAGTGTGCCTGACCACAGGAGAAAAGATTTCATCATAATCAACTCCTTTCTGCTGTGAAAAACCCTTCGCTACCAAACGAGCCTTGAACTTCTCCCCCTCTTTTCTGTTACTGCTGGTTTCTTCTTATACACCCATTTGCAACCAATCGGCTTCTTACCCTCAGGAAGGGGAACTAACTCCCATGTGCGATTGTGATTCAAAGACTCCATCTCCTCAACCATGGCTGCCATCCACTTGTCGTTTTCCTGACTAGTAACGGCATCATGAAAAGTAACTGGATCATCATTGCTAACAGTAAGTGCAAAAGATACCAAGTCTTCAAAACCCAATCTGTTCGGAGGCTTTATATTCGTCCGTCTCACCCTGTCTCTGGCGAGACTATAATCCTGCAAATCATCCGTAGTGGAACCACCAGAAGTCGGTTGAGAAGTTTCTGGTTTCTCAACTGGAAACTGCTCGAAATCTACCACTGTCGTGTCTTGCTTCTGCTGCAACATAGACTGTTCATCAAAAACGACATCTCTACTAATCACAACTTTCTTCGCAACTGGATCCCAGAACTTGAATCCTTTGACACCTTTCTTGTAACCCAGAAAAATGCACTCCTTCGATTTTGCATCAAGTTTGGATCTCTCATCAGCAGGTACATGCACATAAGCAGGACAACCAAAAATCCGTAAGTTATCAAAACTAACATCATGACCAGTCCATACCTCTTCTGCAACTTTCCCAGCCAGCGATGCCCTTGGCGATCTGTTGATAAAGTAACACGCCATGTTAACAGCCTCAGCCCAGAAGTGTTTGGGAAGCCCCGCATTCAACCGCAAACATCTGGCTCTTTCATTCAACGACCTGTTCATTCGTTCCGCAACACCATTCTGTTGTGGTGTCTTGCGCACTGTAAAATGCCTCTGAATCCCATGCTCCTTACAGAATTGTAGGAACTGTGAATCTGTGTACTCCGTACCATTGTCAGACCGCAAACACTTGATTTTTCGTCCTGTTTGGTTTTCTACCTCAGCTTTCCACAGCTTGAACTTCTCAAAAACTTCAGATTTCTGTTTCAAAAAATACACCCAAACTTTCCGTGAAAAATCATCAATAAAAGTAACATAGTACCTAGATCCACCCAAAGACGATGTCGTGGAAGGCCCCCATACATCAGAATGCACATAATCAAGAATCCCTTGAGTTGTGTGCTTCGCAGTCTTGAAACGGACTTTAGTCTGTTTACCAAGAACACAATACTTGCAAAAGTCGAGCTTACAGCTTTTGACACCATGCAACAAGTTTCTCTTGTGTAATTCTGCCATACCACGTTCACTAAGATGAGCAAGGCGCATATGCCACAATTTTGTCGTATTATCACAGGACTCAACAGAGTGAACTCCACCTGCAACGGTACTCCCTAACAATCTGTAGATATTCCCTGCAGTCATCTTGCCTTTCATCACAGTCAATGCTCCTTTAACAATCCGAATGGTTTCCCTATCCTCGTCAGCCTTAGGGATAAAACCATTCTTGTGCAAAGTGCCCAAGGAAATCAAATTCTTCTTCAAGTCTGGGATATGTCGAACACCACTCAACATCCGAACGGAGCCATCGTGCATCTTAATTCTGACATCACCAATACCAACAATATTGCAACATCGATCATCACCCAAATAAACCGAACCAGAATTAACCGGCCTGTATGTCGAAAACCATTCCCTATTTGGCGTGATGTGATAAGAACATCCAGAATCAAGAATCCAAGCATCCGTCAATTGTGTCGTTGAAATAGAAAACATATCACCCTCACTGCAATCAGAATTATCATCCTCGACCACGTTCACAGACTTGGATGAGCCATCACGCTTCTCATCAGTCTGCTTTTTCAACTTCGGACAGTCTCGCTTCATATGTCCCGCCTCCTTGCACTTGTAACAGTGAATCGTCTTCTTATCCCTGGATTTAGATCTGGAATTCCGCTTCCCGGACCCTGCCTTCTCTGGCTTCCGTCCACGATCTCGATTACCCTTGACATATAAGCTATCGGCTTGAGAGCTTTCCCCTGCATTCTGCTTCCGCTGGTTGTGAGCCAACAAGGCTGCAGTAATCTCCTCAACATTGATAGTCTCTTTCCCATATGTAAGAGTAGTCACCATGTGTTCGTAAGAGGAAGGTAACGAACACAACAGAATCATCGCTCTGTCTTCATCCTCAATTTTCACATCAAGCCGAGCCAGATCAGAAACGATTTGATTGAAGACATTCACGTGTTGCGCCAAATCGTGATCGTCCTGCATCTTCAGCCCATACAGCCGCTGCTTCAGATACAGTTTTGTCGTTAAGGATTTGGACATAAACTGACTTTCCAACTTCCTCCAAATTTCGTCTGGAGACGATAGATGCATGACGTGATACATGACCTCGTCCGCCAAGCATAATCGTATGGTTCCTGCCGCTCGCTGCTACAATTCTTCCCAATCTTCCTCATCCATCGACGCCGGCTTTATAGGTCGCAAAGCCTTCAAGATCCCTTGCTGCGCCAATAGATCCTTCACCCTCGTTTGCCATAATCCGAAGTTACCCTGACCATCGAATTTCGCGACTTCGAATTTTGCTCCTGACATCTGATACCAATTGTTGACGAAAACGGGTAAAGAAAACGAAAGAACACGAGAATTTTACGAGGTTCGGCAATGTGCTTACGTCCTCGGTGCCTAGGATACTCTAGAGCACCCGTAGGGTACTCTAGAGCCTCAGGTGGTAGGATACTCTTGTGGTGGTGGTGGTGATCCAAGAGCAGTTTCCTGCCTTGCAACGGGAAACAATAATCATTCGAAGAGGGCTCGCCTTCTACTTCTTTCCTGTGGAAGTTCCTATGGCAGTGACAGGCGGAGCAAGTCAGTGCTTCGATGGTGCCCTCTTCGCCACTCGGCATGAACTCGCCGCACCCGTCGGTGGCGTTTCCTCCCATGGCGGCCGCATGGTTCTTCAGGCACTCACGGTACCTCACCGGTTTCTTGTAGGGCACCACATGGTCTTCTATGAACAAGAAGGAAGAACCATTGGAAGGGCCATGTCCCCCACCATATGTACTGTTCAAAGGAATTGGAATCTCCCCTTCTGGACAGGAAAGTTCCATTTCTAGGTTATTTATTGTATTTAATTAGGGATGATAACCAAACCCTAATTCCTAGGAGTTTTGAGAATAGAAAACAACAATATCCTATCAAGTACTTTGGCACCGAGTCTGAGAACAGAAAACCCTTGTGTTCATGAACGCTCAAATCCCATAACAAAATAATAATAATAAAAGCTTAATAAAGAAGAGGAGACAAAAGAGAAGGGTGACCCACTAAAATGTCCATAATAGGTCAACTGGTAAAGAAGAGAAAGAAGCAAACTCAAAATCACCTTGAGCAGACCGATATAATAGTGTTCCAAAAGTGAGCTCAACTGTGTTGACTCGGTGTCTGTCTCCCTTGGGAACTAAGAAAATGATAGCCCAAGGAAGGGAAAGGAAATACGAGTTAACTCACTATACTAACATAACCATGATGAAGGAGAGAAAAAGGAGGGATTTGCAAGTGATGAAGTGAGGACTAAAGAAGAAGAAGACAGAGAGAAAGAGAAGCAGATTTTCATTTTTTTAACAGACAAGGAGGAATCGAGTCAGTTTAAGTGCCGAGAGGAAAGATAAAAATAAAGCAAAATAAGCTCAAAACAAAACAAAAGTGTGGGTGTGCTTGCTTTGCTTGCACTATCAGCCATTTAGAGAGCACTGTGTCAGAGTGTGCAGACCATAATGGATGGAATTGAAGGGAGAGAAAAATAGTTAAACCCCCGAAATCACGGCAAATTTCATTAAATAATATGAAAGAAAAAAAATATATCATATAGGATGTGGGAGAATTATTTCCACGTAATGTGATTGTTTTAGTATATTTTAAAAATATTTGGATGATATAGTGATTTCGAGAATACGTTCGGATGACATAAATTTTTTAAAAATATGTTTAAATAATACAATGTTTTTTAAAATATGTTCGGACGACATAATGTTTAAAAAGACATCCGGACAAAACGATATTGGTAAGACTATAACATTATAAGTTTTTCGATTTGCATATAGTTAGAAGGAGGACTTTATGTTGTCTGAATAGTTATCAAAACCGGATCGGACCGAACATCCTCCCGTGTATATTATAACAATTAGACTAAAATAATTTTCCTCATACCTTACATGATTGTTTTTTTTAATCGCGTTATTTAATTAAAATTTCCCCAAAACACACACGTAAATTTACAGATTATTGATTAAATTTAAGTACTTTAAATATAATTTATTGGTTTAAATTAATATATAATTTTTAGTTTATAATATAAATAACCTAGTTATTGTAAATATTATTGGAATTAAAAATGATTTAATTAAAAAATTTAATAATAAATCTAAATAAATAAAAAAACCCAAACTTTTTATGTACCGTTTGCTTCAGAAAATATTCATTCAGGCACAAGCATCCAAGGATACCATGGTTTAAAAAAAAATGTGGTTTTACTTCGGTTTCAAGGCTTCGTCTTAGTTAATCTTGATCGACTAGGATCGTACACCTAATTTTGGTAATTGAGTCTCTCAGCAAGGATTTTTTATATACACAATGACTCGAACCTGAAACCTTACTTAAGTTATATCAAATTATTTACCACTTAAACCAATCTCGTTGTTACCATAATTCATATTTAGCGTATACTCATCCACTACTCTTCCTTTTCTCTTTTATTTTCACTATAAATATAATACATATTGCAAAATTAGGGTTTAAGTTAACCTTTATTAATTAATATAATAAATAAATAAAAGATTATGTCTAAATCTGATGTACATTTTACATGGGATATTGTGGAATTAATTGGGAGGTGCCATACTTATCATGTGAATTATTTATTATCAACAATCTCATTTTGCCTTTTTTTAACAACATAAAGATTTCAAATATTAAGTTAAAAATCATTTCATATATTTTTTAAATATTAATTAAATATACATTAATAACTATTAAAAACAATGATAATATATATAATATTTTTAAAATAATATTTTTATTTATTTATTTTATTGTACACAGTATAGTTGGAGAATTTAGGGTTACCTTTTATTAAAACCATTATTGAAACCACTTTATGGCCCTTGCCTTTATTCCTTGCTCCACCGCATTACACACTTTATCCTCTTTCTTTAATTTATTGTTAATTTTTATAAATATAGAATAAATATAAGATAATATATGTGATATTAAACACTTACATTTAAAATATCTATAATATTCAATAAATAACAATAATTCTTTTACTGTTTCTTTTCTTTTCTCTTCTTTTACTAACTCTTTCTCTCCTCTTATTTTTTTCATTTCTTCTTTTCATGGATTAGTATCAATAAACCCCACATTTAAAAACATAAAAATATTAGGGTAAATTACATATTTAATACCATAATTATTATTTTTTTATTTTAATCACTCAATTATTTTTTTCGTCTATATTTTTGTTAAAAAATTAATGGTGATGCGGATATATTACCATAAGGTGATGATACATCATCATTTGTTTTTAAAATATAACCTCAACAGTTTTTTTAAGTTTTTAACACATATAATTAAATTTTTTAATGATGGATAACCAAAACGAAATTAAAATGTAACATTAGGTATGGTTTCGAAAGAAAATAATAGTTGAATGATAAAAACAGAACAAAAGTGATAGTTTGGATACTATACTTGTAGTTTACCCAAAATATTAACAAGGAATTTTTATTTATTGATTTTAAATATAAAATTGTAAGTTGGCTGGGGAGGGTCTACAGACATAAATGCATGTTGATGACAGAGGGCTTGATCACAATTTTCAAGAAATTGTGAACCAAGAATTATCTTTCTTTTAGGGAGGAGTGGAAAACATAAATCCATCAATCCCAATCACTGCCCCCCTAAATTCTATGTGAATCATTTACTGCTTACAATTTTCTTACAAGACTTTTGATTTTTAAACATAAATTATTATTATTATTTTAGGGTTTTTTTAAAGGAGTAATGCATGTAACAACAAAGAAATTTTAATTTGGGATAAAAAAATTATAATATATATAATTTTATGTTATGGTAAATTTATAAAAAAATTAATGAGAACAAATTTATAAAATTTTAAGGATAAAAATAAATTATCAATAAAAAATACATGAAAAAAATTTAAAATATAAAAAATTTAGAAATTTCAAAGACGACTATCTCTGCTCACCTCCTTCGACTCATTCCTGTATATATGATTACTATAGTAAAAGGTGTACTAATCGTTCTAACATGATAAATTTAAAAAAAAAAATTAAAAGCATCGTTCAGTAAGATAAATTCGAGTGAAAATCTCAAAAAAAATATCTTCTTAGAACGATTAAATTTTTAAATAATATATTTTTTAGAACTCGTCGCAATGTATCGACGAGTTTATCATCCGCAGTAAAAATCACTTATATTTTGATTTTTTTTCTCGACGACTGTATTCTTGATCTATTCATTAGAATATACCTAGCCCTTGACCCTCACGTACATATTATTTTTAATTATTTACAATATTTTTAACCTCAATAAAGAAATATTTTTGGATCACAAAGAACAAGCTTTTGTTCTTCATGATAATAGATTCAAAAGTTATGGATCTTATTTTATTATAATATGGTGAGGGTGAGACCAAGGGAGGATTTGTCTTCAATCAAAACAACACAACATAAAGTTGTCCCTCACATTAGGGAGGATTCTCTTTTTTAGTTTTATCTTCAATCAAATATTTTTAATTTAAAATATTATTATATTCAACCTAAAAAGTTATATAATTTATAAACTTTTTACTTCAACCAAAAAAATTATATTGTGATGGGTTTAGGGTTTATAACTGAAAAAGTTATACAACTTGTAATAATTTTGATTGTAACCGGAAATGTTATGAAGAATGTAATATTTTAAGTTTCAACCTAAAATGTTATCATGTCCAACTTAAAAAGTTATGCTTTACTATTTTGTTGCAATCGTTTTATGCACTTTTTTAGCCATATATTAACAAGTTGTATTTTAGACTCTCTCAAATATGTTTGGGTCCTTATATTATACATTCATGAGCTATTTAACCCGAGTATTATTTTTTCTTTAATAGTTTAGAGTGATTATAAGATAATATATGTTCAAAAATTTTCTTAACTTTTTGACAACATAACGTACCCAACTTATACAGCTATTCAAACACAATCATCTAGGAAGAACTACATCCTCTTTCATTACTGAGGTCGTTCGACGATTCAACCAAACCGCTTAATGTTTAATCCTTTATATTTTATGAACTTTTTTCTCCTCCTTAGGGTTCATGTTGGTGTTCCTTGTTAAAACTTGGATATAAAAATGTTCCTTAAGCTTTAAATACAGCAATCATTATGCCTTGCCTCATTTTTCACTCATTGCTATTTTAATGCTTTCTTCAAACCCTATATTTTCGTGGCAGCTTTGATCATTAGTTTCCTTTTTTTTTGTACATGTCGAAATATAAATATAAATTTATTATTTTCAATTGAGTACTCGAACTTGACTTTTTTTTATTTAAATTTGTAAATTTGGTATCAAATTGAAAATTAAAATCAAGGTTGTTTGCTTCACATGCAGTTCATATTCATAGTTCATGGACCAAAGTAACATGAATTTGGTGGTTTTTAATCCAAGCAAAGAGATCTCTCAGAAAAAAGCCTGAAACATATCTATGCAGTTTTATTACGACCAACCCTAACTCTTCAGAGAAGATATTTCCCACCATTTTCTTGCCCTCTTATTACATAGAAAAAGAGATGATGATAATAGCGTACGTATGATTTTATATTAGAGGTTAATTTTATAAAATTTTAAGAGGAAAATAAAATTTATTGAATTTAGTGGTTAAAGGGGATTTTTTTATTAATGTTTTGGGGTTGAGCAGTTGCGTCAGCATGTTTTGTATGCACGGTCAATAGTTAAGAAAAATTATTAGCATATACTATCTCGTAAAATCATCATAGTTTATTTTAAAAAAAATAAGAAGAAAACAGAAATATATTATAAATAGAAAATATAAAAAAATATTTAAATTATACGTAAATTTAAATTAAAAAAACAACTGTGAATCCCTTTAATACATCCCGGATGAAGTCTATGTTGGGCTCGTGATAAAAGGGCACACGCATGCAGTACATATTGTTTTTGATTTGAGCTTTGAATTTAAAGGAAACAAAAGGCAAAAAGAGTAGCCATTATCATGACATAAAAGACGTGAAGGGCAAATAACATTGAGATTGGTTCACGGAATGTAAGATTATCGATGGAAATAAGATTAGCGGGAATGTTGTATTTTG